CAGGTCATAGGAACGAAGCAAGCATCAGGTGATATTCTGCGCACGTATCAGAGGAGCAGACGCGTAGGATATCCGAATCTTTAACCCTTGCCACTGCCACTGCCGACGATAGAGCTGTTGATGTCTATCAACGTCCTGCAACATCTGCATCGCCTGCAAGATCGCCCATACTGAATGATTCTGACCTTCCTTCTACACCCAATTTAAACCAAATAATGAATACAGTCTTATCACCTGTAATGTCCACATCGACGGACGTCTTCAAATACAACAGATTTGATGGCTGTACGATTAACATTAACGTTCAAAAATAACAATTTAACAGCTTAATTATATACACTTAAACCTTAATTTATTCATCGTTACGTTTACGTTTTCTATTCATTACATTGTCTTAATAAAATGATGATTCAACTATTTTTTCTGCGGCGTATTTTTTCGGTATAATATATCATTTATAGACCCTCCGCTCGGGGGATTTGGCAAAATATTACCCTCAGCGATGATATTTCCCTCGGGGCAAGCCCCTCGGGAAATATCATCGCTGAGGGCAATATTTTGCCGAATCCCCCTCGCTCCGGGTCTATAAATGATAATTGTTCCTCAAGTGATGAAACTGATATTACCTCACCGTTAACAGATGATATCCTATGCAATGTCCGTTTTACAAACAGGAAAAATACTTCTCCCAGATGCACAAGTTGCATTCTTGGATGCACTACAGTGCGGTTCAGCTGGTTTGGGTGTTTTACAGCAGACAGTGCAACCACGTTACCGCCCCATGGGTCCAAGGCGTACTGTATTCGTTGTAAGCAACACCATGATGTGAGGGATTGGGTCCACAAACCTCCTGAGTGTGAAGCACATTTGGTCGCCTATGAAAATTGCAGACTGCACGAACGTAACTTAAGCGATACCACAACTCAGGGATCGGAACATAGGTTATTGACACAGGCTGCTCAACTAGTGTCAGTAACAAGCGCAAAATAACCAAAATAACAAGCTTACTTTAAAAGACTTGAATAAATACTTCGCAACAGCATTGATAGCTGCTATATTATGAACAAAGGAGAGCAAAAAAATGATCATCTATATAAAGTACTATACAATCCCGAACAGGTGGGTAATGCAAAGCGCGTATGAGGTAGTAGCATAATTAAAAATAGATAAATAATAGAAGGGTTTGAAACACTGGTAATGTGATGTTTAGATGTTTACAAGTGTAGCCAATCTACTCGGATATATATGTATATATATGTATATATGTAAATGCGGAAGCATGACGGGCGCAATTTTTAGCTTGCCGTGTATTTTAGTCTTTTTTGAGATTTGTAATGACAGAAAGAGGCTGTTTTAAGATAAACATGCAGTACTTCTGGAATCCCGTGTTTTGGTTTGTCTGGATATCTAACTGAGTCTGGTTTGTCTTGGTTGGAAAGAAAGCAAATTCCTATTTTGCCTTTCAAGTTTGGAGTCATATTAACTGTTGTGCAATATGCATCGGTATTTAAACAGAGATAGTCGCTTATGAAGGAAAAGAAACATGGTTGTATGTGTCTTGCGTTATCGGATAGACGATTCCACTTTCAAATTACAGTCTTTATCGATGTTGAAAGAAACCCGGGTCCTGGATTCGAAATTTTGGGAAAGAAAGATGTTAAATCTCAAGCTTTTGTCCCGCTCGACATGCTTCGACACTTTGCATTTGCCAGTGAAAATTAAGTATTCAACAACGGTTTTGTTTGACTTTAAGAATTCCAAATAGTTTGTTTGTATTGATCGTTGGTTATTATCGAGATTGAAATATCTTGCCATAAGGAGAAGACCTCGTTCAAGAGGGGGAAGGAAGCTTATAAGCCATCGACGACATCAACATCGTACATTCAACCTGTTATTTCCCATTCTAGATGTTCTGCTCATTTGTATGCAAAGACTAACGGTGTTAATTACTCTAACTTAATTAACCTCCAGCCAAATGCAAATCGAACTTCTCACATTCTATCAAATAAGAAACTCAACTTTATATCAGGCGTAATCAATACAAGATCTGTTTGCAATAAGACTCTGTACACTAAGAAATTGATCTATTGGGCATTCCTGAAACTTCGCCACATCAGGAAGGCGATGATTCAATTATTGGTGACCTTTTCCCAACAGGTTACAAGTTTATTCATGTACAAAGAAACAATGGGACAGGTAGTGGTGTAGGGCCCTTGTACACACAAAGTGTCAGGGCGCGATTAAGAACATGTGAACATTCTTTTCAGTCATTTGAATATTTGGAGGCTAGTTTCATAAATGTTACAAATGTTAGAGCAATTCTTTTAAATCGTCCGCCGGCTGTTGGACTATCACCCAAAATTTCCATGCATATTTTTTCAACTTTATTGGAAGAACTTATTGTATGCTCTGAAGAATTGTTAATCATGGGATACTTTAATCTCCACATAGATGATATTGAGAATAGTCAAGCTGTTCGTTTTATTAGTCTCTTGGACTCGTTCGGTTCGAAACAACACGTAGTGTCAACAACGCACAGAGGTGGTCACATTTTGGATCTTGTGTTACAAGAGACGATTGTGCGGCTTTGGAAGTAAGCAATATTTGTGTTCTGGAGTAGCCTGTCTCTGACCATAAGCCGATATGGTTTAATCTCAATCATGAGAAACAATCCAATCAGGGGAAAATTGTTGTGAATAGGCGACTTAAGAACTTTGACTTTAAATCATTTAATATCAGAATTACTTCATCTGGATTGTTGAATATGGATGACGACACAAGTCTGTCGGTGCTGGTAAATAACTGTGATACCGTTCTGCGTGGTATTCTGGAAGAACTTGCACCACTAAAAACTCGATAAATCATTGTTCATCCAAATGCATTATGGCATAATGATGAAATCGCAGATGCGAAAAAGAAACGACGAAGGCTTGAACGTAAGTGGCGCTCAAATCGACTCGATTGTAATAGAGCAAACTGTCTGGTTCAGTGTGATGTTGTTAACAAAATGCTACATAAGGCGAGAGAAGAATACTACTCAACCATTATACGTGATAACGCGCACGATCAGAAAGTACTTTTTCAAACAGTGGAGAAGTTGTTACAAAAAAGCTCGGTTAGACGGTATCCTTTGGCAAATAGTGGTCGCAAATTCGCTGATGCATTTGCTGATTCTTTTCTCGCTAAGATTTATGGTGTTCGACAGGACGTATTAGCCAGAAAAGCATGTCTGGGAAGTTCCCTGATGAATTTGACGAAGTTACTTGTACTTGGAATTTTAGCTCCTTCAATATGCAAACTGAAAATGTCGTGAACTTGATTAGTAAGACTACCATTAAATCTTGCAGTCTTGATCCTGGTCCAGTGTCTATCACGAAGAAATGTTACATGACCTTAGTCCCACTGCTTAGAAAAATCATATACTTGTCCTTGTCACTCGGTGCAATGTCTGAACTTCTGAAGATTGCGATCCTATCACCCTTGTTAAAAAGTCCAACATTGATTTTGAAAGTTTTACCCTTCTTCGACCGGTTTCAAACTTGAAATTTTTATCTAAACTCATCGCAAAAAGTGTTTCGGGGCAGTTGAACAATTATCTTATTGACAATGTTCTTCATAAGCACTATCTGAGTCTGCATATAAAGCTTTCCGTAGTACAGAGACGGCGCGTTAGTAAAGATTACCAATGACATTTTATCATCTTTGAATAGAGGTGAGCATGTTCTTCTTCTATTCTTGGATCTATCAGCAGCGTTTGATACTTTTAAAGTTTGTTCGGTCACTACAACCAGCTATATCAATCATGTTTCGCTCGCTACTATGGTTTAAACAAATGATTACAAAGCCCAGTCGAATTGTAATCAAGACCAACTTTTCGACACTCCAGCTAGTCTCTTGATCAGGGCTGATCTAAATTTGCAATCGTGGCTTCTTAATTAAATACCTAAGGAATGATGTCACCTGCTAGTGAGATGCATGCATTTCTCTGGCAAATAGACACCGTCATCCCTATTCAAAAGCATAATTACTCATATTTATATTCCACGCTGTAATCAAATTATGTCGAAACGGTAAAATTAAAAGCGTTTTAAAAACTCACGTGAACAGTGTTCCATCCCTTCCTATTAATTTATCTATTATTTATTATGCTATTACATCATATTCCCCCGTATTACCTACCCTGTTGAGGATTTTATAGTACTTCATATCTGCTCTTTCTCTATCATTAATATATTCATCGATGTTGGTGCGAACAATTTATGCAAATCTTTTAAAGTAAGTTTTTTCCTTTTATTATTTTACGCTTGCTACTCACAGTTGTTGATCCTCCCTGTGGCATTAACGGACCTGAGCTAACTCTTGCAGAACGATATTACTATATTTATCAGTAGAGTTTGCTTCTCAAGGTCATTAAACGAAGCTCTGTGATTAGCGTATCGGGTTTTTTAATTTATTTTCTCTTAATCCAACAAATGTTTGAGTGTGCCGTTTGTCAGATGTTTTCACTATATGGCTTAGTAGTTAATAGATCTTGCCACACATTTTTGGGACATAGGGCATTAATATGGTTTTTGGCAATTGGTTTTTTTTTGGTCGGGGGTTTTAACTCGATGGGATAGCTTGGTTTTATTATGTCCGTTGATGTTTTGCTTAAAATTGCTCATCTAGCTGATAATCTTGACGTTATATCTATTGAATATCCTGTGTAGCATATGGAATGCCTGAAATTCCTTGCCTAGCTAAATATTTGAAAGGTCTCACCAATCCGCAATCAATTAATTAACAAATCTGATTGCATATTTTTGTAGACATATATTAAAAATATAAGAATGAAAACAAGGACGATTGACCGCAGTGACCGATTTGGTATGAAACCACGTTACAAAGAAAATTACGACAACTTCAATGCATACAATTTTGCCAGATTTACTGACTTGACTGTTGACGAAATATTTTAATGTGTTTATATTTTAAAAGCAAACCAAAATACGCAAAACCCAGCATGCATTTCGAACTAAGTAACGCAAAATTGAATCCCGCTCCTTGAAAAAAAAATTCCAACCCTTGCAATTTAGGTGCAAAATTTTTTGTGGAGGCGTGTAATTTGACAACCCCCCCCCCCCCTCCTTAGCCAATAGATTTTTGTCGAGTTGCGTCACCAACCACTGCCTGGTTTACGAATTTGATATAAAATGAGGGTTCAACGACGATTTCTGGAAGACAATTCTAGTCGCGGAATAATCCTAATAAAATGTCAAATGGACAGTCATTCGAAACAGTTGACATTTAGACATAGCTATATGACTGGTGGTGCGTATTTCTGGTGGTTATATTTGGTTTCTGAAGATTACTAGGGAGAATTTTTTGGTGTTTTTATACTTTAGTAAAACAAAATCTAAAAGTCATGCAGCTCGAAATTCAGACATGAACTTTGACACATTTTCGATGAATATAAAAGTTGGCAAATGGTTATTTCAGCAAATGTCTTTTATTTCTAAATAACGTTTCAATTCGGTTTTATAAGATATGAATATTAAGAATCGATAATTCAAATATAATACTCAACCATGTCGAAATATTACTAGCATTTTTATATATTACCGATTGGGAATCTGTCATTGAGCCTGTTGTCCACTCGGATTCTTCTGGATCTCCGAAGGTGTGTATACACGGTGAACTTGCAGTACTGCCACGTCGGCTCTATGTAAAATAGTTATATATATTTATAATTAGAAACTCACTACTCCAATCAAAACGCAGGGAAGGTACCTTTCGTTGCTGCCCCCGAGCATCGTTGTCTCGCAAAATAAAGGTCTTGGCTTGGGGCATGTCAAGGCGGGATCCAACGAAGAAGACACAGAAGCGGGCATGGGAAGAATGAAGAGGCCGAAGAAAAATAAGAGGAATTTGGAAGAGGATAATGGCGATACAGAAATCAAATGTCGAAAACTGTACTTGTTGCCGATTTCAAATTCTCACACACCTCAAAATAGAAAAGTAATAGAACGGATTTTCTCGTCATCTCATTCTTAAAATTTAAAATTAGTCTACGTTTGGTTTGGTATGTACCAATATAATAATTGTTTTTAGTTGGAGTTTGTTTGGGCTTTTCACTATAATTATAATTATAATTATTATTTACAATTGTATATATACGTAAAAATTCAATAAAGTTTCCATTATTATTATTATTATTATTATTATTATTATTATTATTATTATTATTATTATTATTATTATTATTATTATTATTATTATTATTATTATTATTATTATTATTATTATTTATATTATTATTAATATTATTATTAATATTATTATAAAAAAATATTGATCACGACAGTCTGATTGGTAAAAGTTTCTGGGGTTTCGTTAACTCCTTTCGGTCACAAGCATTCGCATCATATTACGACCCAATCGTTCTAGTATAAATATCTCGGCGAGTATTGACCCCCCCTTTTAAATAAAACCCACCATTGAAATCCTCACAAAATAACCTTTCGAACGGGGGGTCAAGTGCCGTCAAAACATTACACAAACCGAAACAATCATATATTTACTCACCGCTTGACCAAAGATTCTAAATTTCATATCCACAAAATCTTGAATATCCCTTGAACTTTTCGTCATTTGCGGAACGGCTATATGCGTAAAATACTCTTTGTATTCAAGCGCTTTTGTGTACAAAATTTCGTTTGAATACGACGAGTAGAAATATTTATTTTGAATTTTTCAAAATGTTCGGGTTTTACTCGCAATTGCGTACATTGCGCAATAATTGGCCAATAAGAAGCTCCTGTGGCCAGGATGACGTCAAACTCACGCGTGTAGATGCAATTTGACCTTGCGAATCCATTTCTGGCCTTTCCAGGGTCATATGATACAAGCGTCGCATTGTTTTTTCAGTCGTATTTCCGGTTGGGATTAACTCACTTCGAGCTCACAGTCGGACAAGAAATGGAAATATATTGATAAAAGATACAGTTTTTGAAGATACAGGCTTGCAAATAACACTTTAGATAGTGTTTTTAATGGGGATTCTAACAAGACTATTACAAAGACGATATGTTCGAAGGGGCCGAAGTTATTTTCGGCGAAAGGTATGGCTAGTCTATATTTTGTTCAGACAATTGCGTAATTTGAAACAATATAATCGTGTTTGACATTCAAAGGCCCATAAATCGCTACAATGTTGATAATGACTAAAACTATACGGAAGAATTAGATAAATCTTTTATTTCTGAATCGAATGGTGGTATTTCTGTCTTCATAGCATGCACAGAACCGAAGATATGAAATTTCTCGCCATCGATCTCTCAGCATCGATATAACTGGGTTGTGATGCAAAAGAGTCGCATATCTTTTTGCCCAAGTTCCTGATACCGTTCACTGACTGCATACTGTACGTAGTGGTGTAATTCAGGTCACTCGTATACATCGAGAAATGAAGTAACTACAGTGAGTACTTGCATGACTTACCTTAAATACGTTCAGAGTATTGAGAGTATTCGATCAAAGCTCCAAAGCGTCTTTACTCACGGAACAATTTCGAGTCGTATGAGGGAATGACCCACAGAGGAAGTTTATAAATGGTTTGTCACCTGATTATCACGTGCCAAATTTCGTAGAATTATACACGAAGGTGACGGTCATGTGGGTGATTTACTTGGAATAGTCCATTTGTTTTGTAGAAAACATCACGTTTATTTATTCTTTATATTCCACGACACCAATTTAACTCTATTTTTGCCATTCAAATCTACAATTACCATTCTCAATAGAAAGAGAGCATCTGATGTAACCCAAGTTTCAGAATGTAAATTCCTTACTGTACAATAAACACAAATAACTACTGTATGATAGAATTCAAAATAAATTTAATATACTCTACAAGCATATGAACTAAAATATGTCACTTCTTTTTTAAACTTCCTGATGCCATGGCATATATAGTACAAACAGACAAACCAGTTCCAAGAACTGATAAAGTCATCAGTCCTTTGTAGATAGCTTGATCTGATGGACCTCTTAAGTATACTGGAAGATGTTGGGCTTTCTATCAAATTAAAGAAGAAAATTAGATTTTAATGGTTTTACTCTGGGCTTAACTACACGATTTTATAGTCAAGGACATCAGTAATAAATCATTCTTTCAGTGACAAATTAGAGAGTATCAACAGACTTAAAGTTTTTCTTTGTTTTGATCGGTCAGTAACTCCTGTCACAACAACCCCTGCCCCCGATAATTTCTGAAAGCCTTTCAATAATAACTGATCGAATACCGTAAACCTCCAACTATAAGCCCTGGGCTTATATTCTTTCGTAAGCGATTTTTGATGGGCTTACAGAGAGGCTTATATATAGAGCTTTTGCATGGACGATCTTTTGCGTTAGTGTAATAGTGATAAACAAGTATAAACAAGTGTTAAGCATAGTAATAATAGTGATTAATAGTGGTAATAGTCATAAACAATACTGATAAACAAGTGGGCTTATATTCGGGGGGGGGGCTTATATTCGGAGGCTTACGGTAACCATATAATATAGTTGGCCGTTGGGTGGTATTGGAATTTTAAGCCATTGAGTGGCAGCACTCTCCACTTGACGAGTAAAATCGTCTGGCGTTAAACATAGTAAAATACCAAAGTAGGGCGCATTGCCACTTAAAGGGTTAATACTGGTAACGATATTTGAAAAATACTGTTACAATAGTTTTAGCAATGTGTGCTCTACAGTAAATACACTTGACACCCAATAACCCAAACATTTAAGAAAATAATTGAAAAAAGTTTGCAATATTTTACTAAAATTGATGTTCTAAATTGTTAAATCTGAACTGTATGCTATTTCACGCACACATACATTGTTTTCTCATTTGTGAACTTTTCTTGTAATTTAACCAAACCGGTATCAACTAAATATCGTGAATAACTAAAAATACCGGTATGTATACCGCCCAACTTCACCATGTGACAAATCTGTACCTATAATTCTTCAACAATGAAAGCATTGTCTGATAGGCTATCAATTAAGCTATATAGTACGCAGATTGCATGAAATTTAAAGCAAAAAAGTTTAACGAACTAAGATTTCCATATACAAAAGGTGCCCATATTTGCCCCCCCCCCCCCAACGTTTTGCAACGTGTCGTCGTGTCCCCCATTGCCGTCACATTATTTACATTGATGGCCAAATTTTGGTCCAAAAAAGAAAATTATTCCTGTGAGGAGTCATGCTGTGGAGCCAAAACCCCCTTGATAACAAGATTTATTCAAAAACATCATTCAGTATTATTCTACCCCAGCTTGAATAAATAATAAAACAATTCTTGGATTCACTTACACTATGCATGATATCAAGTATTGTGCTGGCTGAGACGCAAAAGAGCAGAAACGGAGGGACTGTGGACAGGTCCATTGAAATTGACGTTTTCTCACCTGATCAAGCACCGCCCTTCAGCTGGAATAATTAACTGTTTGGGCGCGTTGTAAGCAAGTGAAGTAAAGAAGTTTGTAATATTTCAAACGAGCTGTTGTGTTGCTTTAAGCCAGATAAATCCGAGGGGTTTGTCTGGCTTTAAAGCCTACGTCCAAGGGTGTTTTTAAAATTAATCGACTGGCGAGGCGAGGCACGATTGGCGAGGTTTTGTTCCCAAAACAGCTCTTACGCTTGTTGGACGTAGAATCTGGTTGAACATGCGCACTTTAAATGCTTTAATGTGGACAAGCATGCACATTAATTGTTATCATTTAAGTCCCACAAGTGGAAGCAGCAAATATTTTTGTATAAATTCGCTGAGTGCAGTCATGTGAGAATTTTGACTGTTAATCCTCTGGGGCTGGTTGTTCAAAAGCCGATTAGCTTAACCGTAGGTTAACTTAAAATTCAAAGTACACTTCCTAACAGCTTGTATATAAATTTGGAAATATTTCTTCACAAACCATGTCTGGATCAATAGAAGTTTTATTTTCTGACATTTTGAAATAAATGGACAAGCAGAAATATGCAAACTAAAACAGTGGGTTAAATTTTAACAACCGGCCCCAGGTGTCGGGTGATAGGAACAGTAAAATTCAAGGACTTTTCAAGAACTTTCAAGGCCATGTATCAAGAAATTCAAGGAGTACAGGGCTGAGAAAAGGCGTTAAAAAGTGACGTTAAAGGTACGTTTACACACGATTAATCGGGTCGATTCAGCTTTAATTAAATATTTGAAAAATACGCTGTCAACATCATATCAAGACATGGTCAACTGAGAACATTCGTCATTAACATTCGGCAAAACCTGAAATCGGCAAAACGTGAAATCAGCGCGACTAATCGTTGGGTGTAAAGTGTACCTTAAACCGTTCAAATTGCAACTTTAATGAATTTCAAACGGTTTTCTAGGGGGTTGGCGGCTCGGTTCAACGGAGTGTCCGTTTTTTAATGTCAAACAAATTCAAGGATTTTCAAGGACTTTAGTCAGGTTTTGTGCGAACCCTGGACTGGTAGTCTCGTTCTCGTCTAGAGATGTACAGCATTTATCTACGCGCGGAGATTAAGGGCTTGACTTTGTTATTGCTCTGCAAATTATAATCCCTGGGATTATATACTGTATATCTTCCCGGCATATATCCCCTGTATAGTGGCAATTTGGGGTAAATATGCCAGTTATTTACCGCGGTATATCAAACAAAACAAAAGGGGCGAATCAGGCCGTATTTAAGTTTAGTATACTAATTAACTTTTCAAACTTTTTTTGAAAATAGATTTGTCAATTATCAACTGTTTTCTCTCTGCTTTCTCACAATACACAAAATTCAACTTAAATAAACAATAGAGCTGTCCACAGTAAATACCCTATACCTTCCTTTCTGGTGATGGGTGATACCGAGTACTTGGCATTCGATACCAGAAACTGCAGCGGGACTGGTATCGATTACTGCTGGGGTATTGCTCGATACTTGCACCCTTTTTGGTAGACTTGCCACAAGTCGACCATGGGGGAGGGAGAGCGCGGGGGAGGGAGAGCACGGGGGAGGGAGTGCGCGACCCGAGCGACGAAGTCGCGAGTGGTCGACTAGTGTTGCTTGCAGGAATTTAAATCGCATTAAAAATTTTGGCGCGAATAATTTTGACATAAAAATGGTGTGACCTTGTCCATTTCACGCCGACAATGGGTCAATGGCCACCAATGTAACGCGGCCACAAAAACATTCTCAAAAATTCATATTTCTTTGTCCTCGAATGAAACTGTTTGCATCGAGCGTGGAAATGAAATAACTGATCCAAGTAAGAGCCGAAAGCTGTTTAATTAATGTATCAACAACAACAACTCAACAAGTGCATGTAAAGAGAATCATCGGAAGACAATTGAATCTGGACAGTTGTTTGTCTATTAACAATGTGTGCCGTAATTGATAAGAATACTACTTTATTAAAGAAAGTTGATTCAGTTCGCTAGCGATTTAACGTAGTAGAAGCTAATCTTATTGAAAAGAATCAGTCTGACAACTGTAACCAAGGGGAGGCAAAGAGGTGATGATTGTGATCAACGAGAAGACGTCGCTAGAGTTCAAAATCCAGTAAAAAGATGCGTTGTTTTCTCAACGAGATCAGGAAACCCAAATTAAACCCAAAACTAGTGAGGAAATTTTAGAATCATCAAATGTCTCTTCGGTGACAGTATTATTAAAGTTCATTTCTACACCCTGTACTTTATACTCAATGTAATGTTTGTTTGTGTATTTTCACATGGTTGTTGTGTTCTACAAAATTGTATTTACATTGTTTACTCTGTTTGCTTCTATAATACACATTTGTTCAATAAAAAAGCCTGAGAATAGAATTATTATTATTTTTAGACTCCTTTAATAGTGTAAACCGTATGGAAAGGACTTTGGAAAGTCTACCTTTTTGGTTGAAAAGGAGACCCATAACCACTAAAAAAATTTAATGTTCAAAATGTATGTGGTTGTGTTAAATCATGTATAGAAAAAAGTTATCATGTCTTGCCAACAGGTGTTGAAAGTAACCGATCCTAACAATTTAAGTACTCATTTCCAGTATCAAAAAAATAGAAATACTGTTTATTTGGATATCAAAACAGGTATAGTAGGTATTGACTGACACCAATCTTGAAAATTCTGGTATAGATTTATAAATAACACAAGTTCTCTCCCTGGGGATGTTTTGACCAGGGGACGTTTTGACCAGGGGACGTTTTGACCAGGAGACGTTTTGACCTGGGGACGTTTTGACCTGGGGACGTTTTGACCTGGGGACGTTTTGACCTGGGGACGTTTTGACCTGGGGACGTTTTGACCTGGGGACGTTTTGACCAGGGGACGTTTTGACCTGGGGACGTTTTGACCAGGGGACGTTTTGACCAGGGGACATTGACTGGCTTCACTAGCCTTTTGTGCTCTTGTGTATACCTGGACGCAAGGACGGATTTTCTGGGGGGTGCACACCCCCAATTCCAGGGAAATTGCACCCCCCGCCCAACAAAAATGTGCACCCCCCCTGTCCCTGCCAAAACTTAAATGCACTAAATTAAACTACTGTTAAGTAAGATAGAAATATTAAAATTAACATGTTTCTATATATGCTTTTTTGCAGCAAATTAATGTAAAAGTAAAACACACTTACAAAAATAAGTTCATGTGCTCATCAGCACCACACGTTCGCACATTCACATCAGGGCGGATTCAGACAGGTTTGACAGGTTTACATAAACCTGTCAGATTTTCCAAAGAAAGAAAATCTATAACCTTCCATGTATATAACTAATTTAAAGAATATTCTGTTTCATAAAATTGATGTTGTCTAATCTATTATTGAAATTTGATTATGGACTACCAAGCGTATTTAGACCCACTGATCATTGCTTTGGCGATTGAGAATCAGGAAATGATTGCAAAGCTTTCACGCTCTTGCAGTTTAGTTTTTAGTTCGTCGTTAGAGTTGGATTGAAAGCGTGTAGATCTAAATCAATGTGTCAGCAATAGACCTTTCCCCTTATAACCAAAATTTTGATCTAGGCAAGTCTAGACAAATATTTCATCACAGCTTGAAAGAGCATTACAAAATTAGTAATATTCCAAAGTTTTGTTACGAAATGTTGTAAAATGAGGAAAATAGAGCCTTGCGAAGTTTGCAATTTTCAGTCATTTTGCATTACAAACGGGAAATTGCAGCCCCAACACCCGAATCGGATGTCAATTTCCCGTTTGTAATACAAAATGGTTACGGTTCACTAGTCCGAAGGTTCACTAGTCCGAAGGTTCACTAGTCCGAAGGTTCACTAGTCCGAAGGTTCACTACTCCGAAGGTTCACCACTCCGAAGGTTCACTAGTCCAAAACATACGCTGGTTTTGAATTGCAATTACATGTTAAACTTGCCTGCTTCCCAGTTAAGGATTTTTCGTACTTGCATATACACGCACGGAAAAATCTAAATCCACTTGAACGTCTTTTGTCAATTTAAGAAATAATTAAATGAATAAAAAGATAGCATTTAGTTTTGTGTTTGATTTTAAATATATTTTTAAGTAATTATTATACTTATACCGGTATAAAATTTAGAAAGATTTATAAACTTTTCCGAGGGCATATATATGTACGTGAAAAATGCAACCTTAAATGTCCAATGACCATACGCGGCGACTTTCAAGTTGCGACTTTCAAGTTGCACATTTTTCACGTACATATATATACACTCGGAAAAGTTTAAGTCTTTCTAAATTTTATACCGGTATAAGTAATACAATTACTTAAAAAATACATTTAAAATCAAACACAAAACTAAATGCTATCCTTTTATTCATTTAATTATTTCTTAAATGGACAAAAGACTTTCAAGTGAATTTAAATTTTTCCGTGCGTGTATATATGCAGGTACGAAAAATGCTTAACTGCGAAGCAGCCAAGTCTAACACGCAATTGCAATTCAAAGCCAGCGTATGTTTTGGACTAATGAACCTTCGGAGTAGTGAACCTTCGGAGTAGTGAACCTTCGGACTAGTGGGCAGTCACCATACAAAATGACTGAAAAATATGGCAAACTTCGCAAGGCTATATTATCCGCATTTTACAAGATTTTGCAACAAAACTTTGGAATATTACTAATTTTGTGATGCTCTTTGAAGCTGTGATGAAATTTTTGTCTAGATCGAAATTTTAGTTATAAGGGGAAAGGTCCATTAGCAGATCCTATATTTTGTCACTAGGCACTAGCTAATACACTTCGGAAAAGGTTCAATTAATTGTTTGAGCTGCGTATTAGTCAAAAATTCACTTAAAACATGCATTTTCTAATCATTAAATTAATTTTAAAAGTGATGCCAGAACGCAGGAAATGCTGTTTCTGAGCCCCAAATTTTAAAATTTTTCCGGACCCCCCTATTAATTGGATGAACCTAGTAAACCGGTCATCAAAAACCCTGGATCCTCCCCTGCACATGATCATCACCACCACCCCTGAATTTTTTGCACCTCCCCAGAGGAAAATATGAAAATCCGCCCTTGCCTGGAGGGCTTGGCTTCTGTGCTCTCCCCCACAATCCCACATACCGACTAAGAATGAACTACATGTACATTAGTTCCTGGCAGCTTAAACTATTAAAGTATTTTATCATCAAACCTGAAATAATTCCTGGAAAGCTCGCACGTTGTTTGCTCTTTTATAATATTGGTTCATAAAATTACGTCCAAAACTCGCCATGATTGGACCCCACTGTTCTTGTTCTAAAACGTTTTTCAATACAAATATTTTACGATAAAGAATACCAACAATGAAATAGAACCTCGAATAAAACACATAACTGACAACTTACCAAAACAAAGTTGAAACAGACGAGAAAAGTTCGAAATCCTCTTCGAAATCAATATTATTTTAAAAAAGTGATTGAAACTTGAAAGTTTGTAAAATTTTGCAACTTTGAGCCTGCAAATTAAATGAATGGGTCAGTTAATTAATGCATTACTTTATATAAGGCTTGCACAGAAGCCGGTGTGATAGATTTTGGGTATGTCTAAAGGGAGAGTTATCAACCGGAGAGTTATCTCGGAGAGTTATGATTTCGGAGAGTTATGTTCGAACCACGCCCAAACCACGCCCACTTTCCCCGAGACCACACCCAATTTCGTAACTCTCCCGACGTTTCCTTGAACTAACATGAGAGAGTTATGTTTGACGTAACGCTCTCTCGTTAACATTATGAAGATGTTATAGAGTTATGTCAGTTTTTTGAGAAAACTTTAGTAAATCTTGTTTCTTCAGATTTTCATCTTATATTTTGGTATTTCAGTTTGTAGCGTGTCAATAGCGTGCGTCCAAACAGGAAATAGTACAACTTGACTCGGTCAAAACAATGAGATGGCTTGCATCAGAAGGGTCAAAGTACCCCCAGAAGCATGCTTTGACGTGTATTTGGCAGTAAATACGGTAAGTAGTTGCAAGAAAATTGAAAAAATTGAATCTTTCAGAAATTCAGGTTTTGGAAATACTTTTCCAGATCAGCCAATAGGGCATTACATTGGAAAGGTTTTCTGGTTCTATCTAATACGAGAGCTGTATCTGAATGCTGGGCTTGGTAGATAATCCAAGTGAGCATGTAATAATTTATTCACTCGTACTCGCTTCACTTTGTAAGTACTAAAGTACAACTAGTTTCTACTAGCGTGAAATGTTAAAGCTGAAACTTGAGAAAAAAGTAAATTCACAATAATTTGGGAAAAGTGGTCGTTGGGAAAAGTGAGCGTGGTTTGGGCGTGGTTCGAACATAACTCTCCGAAATCATAAGATAACTCTCCACTTCATAACTCTCCGTTTAGCCGGTCCCATAGATTTTGGTCACATTGGCGGATTTTTTCAGAAATTTTTGGTAATTCAAATATTACAGCTCGACCAGGCAAACCGAGGCCGCTTTTGCGTATTTTGGATCCAAGCCAAATCAAAACTGATCACCAGCGGCTCATTGCAGCTTCGGTTTGCCCATTCGAGCTGTAATTTTCCTATTTATTAACAATTAATTGATTTAGACGCGATGCATTAAAAGTACGCAGTCTAAACTGGGCCTTAGTTAGCCTTCTCCGCAGGCATCGCCTTAAAATTTGCTCACCGACTTGAAAGTAAGTGAACCATGAGATACCTGTGGAGAAGGTTAGGTCTTAGTTATCAATCATGGTCATTTAGACTGATTTATGTACTTGCTAGATTGGCCTCAATCAATGGTCTAAACTGCCCAAAGAAGTACAGAAAATGGCGTTTCTGTACTTGATCCCAAATTTTCCCGGGTTGACCCCAGGAATACCCCACCAAAATATGTCACAATCGCTGCATAATCAATCTGATTTTCGTTATCAACACAAAATGACGGTGAGAATATGGCCAGCGATATACGAAGGTTGAAAATTGGCTATATATATATTATATATTGGCAATGTTCATTTTGTGTTGATTGCTTTTTCTTTATTCTTTAAAGATGTTCAATGATACAGTTCTGCCCTCGCTGAAGCTCCTATAGCAGTTATGCCCGCTGAATCTCCGAATAAAATTTCTGGGGGTATCACACCTCCTCCCCCCGTCCCTCTCTGGGCTTGAACGTTTGGTTTGGATCTTGCATGTACTAAAATTTACGCAATTTCTTCTCTTGAATATGAACCGTACGTATTTAAGCAGTTTATTCTGAGGGAGGGGCGTGTGCGCCTATGTGCGGATTTTTGTACAGGCGCATTATGGGACATTGTCTATATGATCTTCTTCCAGGGAAATAAATCGTTTTCAAGTGAAGTGTTCCAATACACCTTTCTGGAATGTACGTCCTTTGGCTACAGAACCTCGTTTTCATCCATGTGACCTTAGTTAAAACCCAACGTCTCTCAATGACGAAAACGAGGCTCTATAGCCAATTAAGGCAACTTTTCGTAAACGTGTATTCTGGTGCTATTACGCATACATTTATTAGTTATTACAGTTAAGCCTGGTTCACACGATGAAATAAGCATAAACACAAGGAAAACAAACTTTTCCTTTCCTTGTGCTTATGTTTATCTCACACACACGAGCGATAATACACTCGGTACTTGTTTAATATACGTGTGAACAACCAGGCTTTACTTTCGGCGGGCAACAGGAAAATCTAAAATTATAGTTCCAAAAGGCGCATGACCTAAATTAGATAAAAAAGACGCCTGCTTAGAAAAACACGTTTAAACCGTTCGGTTCTAACACGTGGAAATATAAAGTGATGTCCACGTTTACGCAAGTTCCTCGTTCTTTCAGGCAATAAAATCTTAAAAGTGCACCTAACCTCAATTCTTTTTATCATCTCATTTTTAAGAACTTCTGAAATGATATTGTAACGTATTTTGAAGATTTTCGTTTGCACACTTTGTCTCCGAGTTATTTCAGTTTTATTGATATGCAAAAGTCCGGAACGTACATCTAATGACTGATCAAAGAATGTAAGGTACAGTTAAATATCATGAAATAAAAAAGCTAAATGGTGTTTTACATAGGTATGTAATCCTCCCAGAACTCCAAATTTCATTTTAATGAATTAAACTCTAAAGTGAATACGATGCACAAGCTTTCAGTTTAATGAAATCATTATGTATTTGTGACGTAAATTCCGGATATTTACATACCAAACAAACTGAAATATCTCAGAAACAACACGAGCAAACGAAAATCTTCAAAATAAGTTATTATATCATTTCAGAAGTTCTTAAGAATGAGATGATAAAAACGAATTGAGGTTAGGTGCACTTTAAACGTTGGATGGCAGTGTAGGTAGCGAAATTAAAACTGCGAACTCAGGGGTTTCAGAATAAGCCGGCGGAGTTCCGCCGGCTACTTGAACTTTTACCGCCGGCTACTTTTCGTCTGGTCACAGGAAAAATTTTATATACAAATGTACAATTGGAATTCAAGTTGGCCTCAAATTTCCCTGAAATCAATCGACGGCAATGGCGTTAAAAATTGCCGTAGAATGTAACAGCTGTCTACGACAATTTTGTCAATTTCCACGGCATTTTTTTAAATTACTGCAATAAAAATTTAATTTTATTGTTACTTTGGATTGCTGACAAGCTAGAAACATGTTTACGTATTTCTTTAGTGTTGTTTTTTTCGAAGAAAACTGAGACTAAAATAGTAATCTACGGATGATTTGATCAACATCTAAATTCAAGTATCAAAATAGTAATGCACAGTGAGCAGTTTAAAAATTATACAACACGGCAAAAAATTGCCGTCGTTCCCGCAATGATCCACAGCATTTTGTTCTCCCTCTACAGTATAAGTGCCATAAAATTCAAGCCCTGAATTCAAGCAAAACATCACTTATTTCGGAAGATCAATAAGATAAATTATAATACATAGTACCAAACATAGCAAAAGAAAGAAATGATGAAGTGAAGTTCATTACGTACATAAGTATAACATCATTTGATTAATGATTTCGGACTCATAAATTAATTGCTGCCTCGTAGAGGCAGCACACTATTCTTGACTACGCGGTGTTTCTCCAGAGTCCACTCGACCAGTGCTCTCACTTTTAAGGAATTATCCTTAAAAATAGGAATTTTGAAGAGTTTTAAGGATTTTTTAAAGGAATTTAGGTTTTTGAGGATTTTTTTAAGGAATTTCCAAAACATTTTATCCTGGACTAAAAACGTTTTGACGGAGAATAACCACGCCACGCAAATGAGATTTAAACTTGAAAGTAGCAACATTATATGCACATAATTACATATATTCGTATGTTCTCTATGTCGTAAATGTGCATATGGCTGTCTTTCCATTAAAATTCTCAAAATTTAAATGTCAGTGTATGCTGTTTCTTCTGAAATCTACAGATTTTCTAAGTTCTCAGGGCCCTAGCGACCGGGGGAGGGGGGAGAGAGGGTGCAACACCCCTAATATTGCTCATGAACAATTTCAGGTAGATATCCTGTAGATTTTCAGGTAAATTCAGGTAATTCAGTCAGGGCATAAAAAAGTGAACTCTCTAATCTGAATTGGAGTTAACAATCAAACAAACTAAAGACGTTGAGACGTGTTGTGGCAGGGAGACAATTGCGAAATACCCTTTCTGACGATCTGGAGACTCCAAATTTCCAAAATTTTCTCAATTTCCCATTATAAACTGAAAGTAGCAATACTTATCTTCATTGTTAGGCAATACTAAAATATTGGGTAGGAAAGACTCTAAAAATGCCATTTCCGACGGTCTAGAAACTTCAAATTTTCAAAAAATACGGTTTTAAAGAACGTTCAGTTCGAAAAATTCAGGTAAATCAGGTTAAAAAAACACACTTTTTGCAACTGTGTGATCAGGCCTTGTAGTAATTTTACCAATTTAAGGAATTTTAAGGAAATCTGAGGAATTTTCGAGCTTTTTCTAAGGAATTCGAAAATTTGATTGTGAGAGCACTGCACTCGACCCAGTCTTTCGCGCGATCTATGTATTGTTTTGTATTGTCGAGATCTCGATCCTGTCACAGAATAGAAAATAAGACCAGAAGCCTCACTCAGCCAAAATTATGTCCGAGATTTTTTATGCGCAGGCGCGAGCCAGCAAGTGTAATCCACGCCATAAAACGCGAGCAATTACGCCATCAATTGCCATTACCAGGTAATAAAGATTGCTGTTTTAACCGTTTTGCTGACGAACGCTGACGTGATGTTCGCAGCAAGTGTCACACACGTCATCTAGCGTGCGAAATTCGTGATCCGCAACACAGAATAGAAAATAAGACCAGAAGCCTCACTCAGCCAAAATTATGTCCGAGATTTTTTATGCGCAGGCGCGAGCCAGCAAGTGTAATCCACGCCATAAAACGCGAGCAATTACGCCATCAATTGCCATTACCAGGTAATAAAGATTGCTGTTTTAACCGTTTTGCTGACGAACGCTGACGTGATGTTCGCAGCAAGTGTCATACACGTCATCTAGCGTGCGAAATTCGTGATCCGCAAGGCGAAAATCGCGGACACGAAAATGTTAAGGAAAGGTGTACAGTGAGACTTCTGGTCGATTATATATTCTATGTCCGCAAGGCGAAAATCGCGGACACGAAAATGTTAAGGAAAGGTGTACAGTGAGACTTCTGGTCGATTATATATTCTATGATCCTGTGTCTGTCTGTCTGTATGTATGTAAAGATGTCGTAATCCGGGGGGAAAATTAAGCCTCGAGAACGTTTGTTAAATGAGGGGAGCGGTCAGAAACAAGATTTTGTGTTGCGCACGCAACTCCATGTGCTCAAGAATCAAGATTTTACAATTGGTTTCATACAGGCTTTTTATACGGATGCAAGTTATCGAAAATTTTCGGAAAAATTCAGGTAAGTATGGCTCTATTTCTTTCTTCTGAAATACATCAAGGCGATGACCTTTTTAGTGTTCAATCTAGAGGCAAACAATGTGCTTTTATGAGTTTATCTGCAATTTTAACCACAGCGGCCCAATCTCAGAATGAATGATCAGGTGTTGCGGGTTTTTAACGGTTTTTATAAACAAATTTCAAATAGTCAACCAAAACTATTCTAAAAACATTCTCAAATTGGTCAAATAAATACATTTTAACAATAAAATATAGTTGACATGACAGTATAATACCTTTGCATTCTTTTAATTAATCCATGAGCTCATTTAGAGCGGTTGATGTAACATTTTCTGTGGCCTACATTGTGTGTGCTCATCTATATATAATCATAGTTAATAGAGGACAGGGTTTGGAAGGCCGGCAAACTTCAAAGGCTTTCGAGCTAATTAGTTTCAGATGTTGGAAAGGTACGTCACGTGACATTTCGGGTGCATCAAATTCAGAAATTACTATAGCGTAGTATTACAGAAATATGCTATTGTGCTTATAAATTTTAAAATGAGGCATTGTTGTTCTTGTTATGGCTTCGACAAGTTCGGCATACGATTCAGAAAGCAAAATTCACCCAATTCTGGGTGCTGGAGACGCAGATACAACGACGGAGACGATTTTCATCAAACTATTTGGCTGCTGGAAATCAACGCGGATGAATTAACTGAAGAAATATCGCGTTCAGTTGAAGAAGTAAGTCCTTTATACGGTGTCCAGTTAAACAATATGTAGTGAGATGCCTTAGACTTAATATTTGACTTATATTTGTCGTTTAGATTGAAGGATTAAAGCAATTCTCGTGCGAATATCGACGCAGTATTAAGCACTCGACAAATTCTACAGCTAGTACTGCCAATTAAGGGAAAATCAAAACCCATGTTACATGACTTATCACGCATATGAGAAGGCATTGTCGATCATTCGAGAGGTAGGGAAAAGGAAAGAATATTTTCATCCATGCAGAGAAGATAAAGTCGTGCTTTTAATGCTGGTGAATATGCCCGAACGGTTGACTTTGCTATTACCAGCAGATATTCTAAAGTTATTATAAACACTGAAGAAACTGCATGCTTTAATACCAGTAAATATCTTAATACTGTATATATAGACAATATACTGTAACCTAGATATGAATGTCTTAAATAGTAGGCCCTAAGGCTTATGTCCAATTGTCAATTACAAGTCCAGATATTGACCAATATACAGTGATTCAATGTCTACTAACATGTGATTTGTTACTTTTGATCATTCTGTCACATCAAAATAGAATGTTATTCCAAGATTCCATGATATTTCATGCCCATGCATCCCACAGCTTCCAAGACCAAGTCTTATAATATATTAGACAAAGGAGATATCAAAGGAAATATCATACAGAGGAAATATCAAATTTTGATATTCCCTCTGTATAGTACAATATTGACCTAAGGGTATTAAACTTAGTTCTTATTCCTCTCCAGTGCCAGAAGCTTTTACCTATGTGCAAAGGATTATATACCCAGAAATATTTTTTAATGTTTGTATTCTGCTAGTAATTATCAATGAAATCAGAAGAGTTTGGACCACCCAGCTTAT